GTTGAAGTAACAAAAAAACTCTCATCATTATTTTTTTTTTCTTTTCATTATATGATCGTATTTTTCCTCTCGATAGAATGATCAAGGTGAAATAACCGATTTCATATCGTACTATCATTTACCATCGACAATTCTGAATCATCCACAATACAAGATATTGAATTCATGCTACATGTATTATTATGCTGCCAGTCGAACACCACTGACCGATCTCGTCAATGATTGTCTTGTGCAAGCACACAATGTAAGGAGTAAACGAACGTTTTTTTTTCATTTTCATAATGATTTTTTTTCAAGAGTGATTTCGATGTGTTCAATGCGCTCGATATAATGGATAATAAGGAATTTTTAGAAAAACTTAAATTTGGTGTCGGTGATGGTAATATTCAATATTACATCTACAATTGGAAATGTCCACTGATGCCTGCCGAAAAAGTTTGTTTTACGTTTTCAATGTTCATATACTGATTTATGTTTTTTCGTTTAGGTTGCATTGGTACTTCAATAATAGAGTCACACACCACAGGACAATTCTACTCACATCACTTACCATTGTTATTTCATTTTTTTCTTCTCTCTCCCTCGCTGTTTTTTCTAAATTTATTTCTCATATCTAAAAAGCCAAGAATACAGAAGGATTGAAATCAGCAGAGATGAAAAATAAAGATCGATAATCAGGAATAGACCTACACTAAGAAGAATATTTTTGAATAGCTGCATTTTATCCATCGATATCATCGTTCGCTTTGGTAATATATTCTCGAATTTGATTTACGGCGACCGTTTAACTTGTCAACTAATCATTCGCATCAAATGCAATTAGGGATCGTCGTGACCAAGAATTTTCGATCACGACCGTGAGTCACGAGAACTCACGGTGGTCATGGCTAAGGTTAACATAAGCAGTTATTCGTATTTTACTTTGAATATAATCGGCTAAGTTCGCCTGTGGAATACAGGTTTTAATAATGAATCGTATATTTCGTTCAATTGCTGAAACAACACGAATCGGCGAAACAAAATGCATAGTATCCGACTCGAGAATGTCATAAATACCGGTCCCCTCACCAATCTAAAGTAGTTTCCGAAGTTTTTCAGCTGACACTCGTCATGAACTGAGAAATGAATCTTCTCATTGAGCCTTGAGATCTCTTCTTTCGATAATTTGTAAAGAAAAGTTCAAATGTCGTTTCTTGATCAACATAGGAACATTTTCTGTTAGACTTGCTTACTTCTTTGATTGAAATAGATTATGAGTCAAAAATGTTGACTCTTTGTCTCTTACACACGAAAGAAATAGCGTACTTGTCAGCGTTCGGTGGTGACTATAAACAAAATCCATTTTTGACAACATTGTTCCACACGTGAGCGACACAAGCGTATCGAGGACCAAATAAACCGTTCGATGTGGCCGCAACCATCTCGCCTCCACAGTCGGTCGTAATTCCAGCTCTTTGTTTGGGCATAATTTGAAACTTCTGATCAAGCTCAAATTTGAGAAATGATTGAACATTGACGACGAGATGACGTTCAGTTAGTTGTCTCAGAGATAGCACAAGTGGCATGGGTTCAAAATCTTCATCGAAAATATGCGCAGTCAATGAAATGTAATATTTGCGGGTGCCACTCTTTCAAATATCAACAGTAAAGGCGAGGTCTGGGGCACATTTGAGGACAGCTTGAAGAAGAGACAAATGAGATTCTTGCATTGTTTCTGAAATTATTGGCATAGACTAAAAAAAGATTATCTCGATGTTCTTCGAGTTTCTTATACAACGTTCGCATTATCCTTCGAGAGATGTCTGCGTGAAAAACACTACTTTAATTGAGTATGATGGACTTTCTACTCTTTCTTCATTATCTTCGAACTGCATTCACATCGAATGTGAGCGTCGAACCGCACAAGTCTAATCAAACAGAAGAATAGGCAAGTCAAAGCGAATTCTTCGCCCTAATGAACTTATACCAGTTAGAAATACTCATTTCTTGTGTTATTAGCATACGAGAAAAACAGAAACTTAGCTCATAAATTGTTGATATAAGATATTGTTTTCTTTCCTGTCAGCAACCTACCTTCACTTGATTGACATATTTGTAATAAGCATCACCCACGCGCGAAGCAATGGTAGATCGACTGGGTGTTGATATCGAGAATCGAATGTTTTGAGAACATTGACCATGCCTGGTTTCATGAACGTGGTAAAGAGAAGCGCATCGTCAATAATGCAATCAACAATTGCATGAGGGTGTTGGTGTGGGTGTTGGCATGAGGTAGAAGAAGGAGTACACCCACACCCGCACCCCACCTGCACCCACACCCACACCCCACCCACACCCACCCACACCCACACCCACATCCACCCACACCCACACTCACCCTTATTTAATTCATCGTCTATTCTATGTACAATTACAAGAAAGTCAATGGAAATATTATTATGATATTGGTATACAAGGAAATATTTGGTCAGGACGTGTATAAAAAAATGGGCTGCTATGAATAGTATGAATTATACTTATGATCGATCAAAAACATTAATTGTACAACGTCTACAAACTATTCAACGACAACTTCAACAAGCATCACAAGCATTACAAGATTTCGGTAATCAACCATTACCTCAATGTCTATCTGGAATGAATCCTCCATTAGATTTCACAACATTATCAGCAATGGTTACAGCTGTTGTACGTAAAGGTCAATATAAATTAAAACAACGATTTGAATATAACAAAAAAATGTTAAAATTAGTCCCAACAGATCATCTTTTTGTAAAAAATTGTTTACGATTTTAAACCAAATAAACAACAAATTCGTTCAATTCGTAATATATGGAAAGCCATTCAAAATAGAAAAAAAATGGAAGAACAAATTGAAATATTAAAACATCGTATCCATTCGAATTTTTTACCACCAGCATTCAATCTTCTTGGTTATTCACTTGATAGAATTGAGAAAATGCTTAACGGATCAAAACAACCTTCTAGTAATGATAATGATAATAAGCAACAAACAATATTAGCTCTCATCGCTTAAAGAAAATTGGTCAATTTAAATAAGATATGCTTGAATTAAGTATAGCAGCTGGCGAAGAAAAAGTACAATATTGGCGTAAAACGGCTAAAAAAGAAAAAAGGAAATTAAAAACTATTACCTTTACATTTAGTAATATTATTACTTGATCATTTACTCGAACGGAATGAAATTACCAATGAACAGTATAAACAAATGTATCCTAATTTAAAAACATTAGAATTAGCTCGTATATATTTCAATCTTAAAGTTCATAAGGTAAAATAATTAATTTTCATAGATAATTTCTTAAGCATTTCCTTTTCTAGCCTGAAATATCAGTTCGACCTATTATTGCTTCAATCAATGCACCGGCAAGACAAATATCAAGTTTTTTAGATCAACCGCTCACTCCAATTTATAATTATGTGCCAAAAGATATAACATTTATTAATAGCATCGATTTGATTCGAAAATTAAACACTATACAGAAAAAGGCTATCTCACTTCAACAACATTATTTGTTACATTTGACATGGCCGATTTATATACAATGATACCACGAGATGATACTATTGCTGCTTTAAGACGGTTCTGTCAAAAATATTCTGTCAATGGCAAAATTGGAAACCTCAAAATAGATACTATCATTAAATTAGCCCCTGTTGTTTTAGATACGAATACATTTGCTTACAAAAATAAATATTATCGACAAATTAAAGGCGGTGCTATGAGTTCACCATTTACTATGGTACCCGCCAATATATATATATATATATATATATTAGAATGGGAACAAAAATTAATGCAACATCAAAATAGACATCATGAAATTTGTGGCCGATAAATTTCAAATTATGATTTCTATATTCTTTTATACTGATACTTTATTAATATTTTGTAGATATATTGATGATGTATTTATGACTACGAATTTAACAACAGAAGAAATTTTACAAGAACTTAATGAAACAATGAAAACAGATCCAAACATTAAAATTACTATTACAATAAATCAAGCATTAGAATATCTTGATGCTAGTATTGAAAATAATAATGGACAATTAAAAACAAATATTTATCATAAATCAGCTTGGGAACCTCATATTCTATCTTATGAATCTGATCATCCACGACATATTCATGCCAATATAATTTATACAATGTTAGTTCGAGCAGCACGTCTTTGTTCAACTGTGGAAGATTTTGATATGGAACGATTAAGTGCAGAAATGATATTATTAGTTAATGGTTATCCACCAAAATTTATACAAAAACACATGAAAAATTTCTTTATTCAGCATGATGCGATGAATGTATGGACTGAACTTGATAGTGAAACATATGAACAACTGCATAATACATTACTTTACAAACCAACACGAAGAGAAAATAAATCCAGAGCTCAAACAAATGGACACTTAACTCAAAACAGAAGAAATTATAAACATAAAGATCAAATTTATCTTCATTACACATTCGAAAATGGACCATTATTAAATTTCAAAAAAGAATATCGTCGAATATGGGAAAAATTCTATGTCTATCCAAGCTCACGCTTCAAAAATACACGACTTATTCTTAGTACAATATTAAATCGTACATTACAAAGTCTTCTGATACACAAAAAGTCTAAAAGAGATATGTTGACCAGAATGCAACCCACCACAGAAGCAGCTCGAACAACAATACAGGAACGATTTAATCAATGAAAACAATATTACTTCTAACAATCGAAAAAACTCAAGAGCATTTTTCCTCTTTTCTCTTTTTGTTGTCTATCTATGATATTTGTTAACTATCATTAGATCTTGTTAATCGTTGAACATTGTTACTTTCATATTTATTTTTCTGTTAACTATGCGAAAGACTTCATGTACTGTAGTTTATTCCTTTTTTCATTATTCAAACTATGATATTTGATTATTAACCATATGAATTCGTATCCTCTTATTTGATTATTTCTTTTGAAAAAATGTTCACATTGAAGCTAGATGAATTTCACTGCATTATATATTCTAGATATATACTAATCAACACAACGTTTACCAAAAATAACTTCAAAACGCAACACAACTACCTCAATGATCCCTGTAAGTATTCCTAGTTACAATAAAACACAACGAATACAGATGCAAAAATGATCCCATTTTTTCACTTCAGAATTACTACCAACCACACTCAAGTCGACGATCGGCAATCATAAGCAGCTGACCACAACCATGCACATAATGCTAATATTGATCCAATCTACACTGCTCCAACATTAATAAAAGAACAACCATCAAAACATATGAATGCAACAAACTACACGGCAAGTAGACAACCAAATTTATTCTCATAAGAAACTTTCCACAAAAGTATACTATGCGTATTACTTGTTTCTGCAGTTTTCTCATAAAACTTTCATCAATAATATTATATAGTAGTACATTTATAATAGCTACAATCTTAGCACTTATCGAAACACGTGTCTTACTAGCTATACATTAATTTTCCTTATTAAATCATTCATTCGTTCACATCCATATGTTGGAGAATCTCTTCAAAAACATTTTAGGAGGTTGTCCTTTTGAAAACTTTTTAATAATAATTTAATTGAATTATGATTAACTTGGCAGCTTTACTTATAAAACTTTCGACTATAGTAATTCATAGTAGGAGAAGTACTTTATTTGCCATCTTCAATCATTTGCATTATATAAGTAATTGATAAGTTTAATTTTAGCACTTATCGAAGCACGTGTCTTACTAGCTATTGATTGATTTTCCTTATTGAATCATTCATTCATTCACATCCACACCGAAAACTATTTATGTTCCAAACACAATTCGATGAGCTCTATCTAATGATATAATTGTATTCTCTATTACACAAACTACATGGTCAAAAACTCCGAAATATCGATATTTTCCGATAAAATCCACGGAACTACTTTACTAAATCCTACTCCGATTAGCGTACGAACCAGTTCTAAGACTCTTATTGTTATTTCCAGTACAACTTCATAATCTCTATCGAATGATATAATTCAATTTTCCACAACTCAAAGTATGTGGTCTAAACCTCAAAAATAACAACTTTTGCGTAAAGGGTGCACGGACCCAGCTTAGTAAATCCTGCCTCAATTACCCTACGAACCTGTTAGAAAGCTCTTATTTCTGTTCCAAGTACAACTCAATGAACTCTATCTGATGGTATAATTGGATTTTCCATAACGCAAAATATGTGATCCAAAAGTTCAAAATATCAATTTTTTCCCACTGGATACCCGGACGTGCATTAGTAAATCCTAACCCACTTCACCTAGGAAGATGTTCTAAGACCCGTATTCCTCTTCCAAGTCCAACTTGATGAGCTCAATCTAATGGTATAATTGGATTCTCTATGGATCGAACTATGTGATCAAAAAGTTCAAAAACCCGTTATTTCTATGTACGCCGCACGTACTCAATTGAGTCAATCCTACTCCGATTCGCCTCTGAACTTGTTCTACAACAACTATTGTTGTGCCAAGTAGAATACAATCAGCTATATCTAATGGTATAATCACATTTTCTCTAACCCCAACTATGCGTGAAAAAACCCAAAATATCGGTTTTTTATCATACTAACCATAGAACTCATCCTCCGCCGTATACGGGATTTACTGCCGTGGGATTTACTGCCATAAACAATCTTTATAATGCGCGCTTTGTTTATATGTGATTTTAAAAAGACGATAATTAAACTCAAGCTATCTCATTAAAATTATATCCATTCACCAATTTAAAAAATAATCATCTCAAATATTTATTTGTGCAACTGTTTTTCTTTTCTTTTTGTTTCCCCACCCCACCCCCTACTCTGTTTAATTGAGTGAACTAATCGCGAACCACAATTATGTGAAATACTTGTTGAATTTTTTTTCCAGTTTTAATTTAGAAATTTTATAGTAAAAACATTTGATATCATTATCTTTATACAATATTATATTCTTTTTAAAGAATCGATTTTTATATTCGAGCACTGTATTATTTCTTAGCATCCACCAACCAGAAAACAAATGTAATAAATCTGGCCTTATAGTCTCATATCGACGGGTTTGTGTTTTGTTTTTGGTTGAATAAGATATAATAGTATAACATATAAATAGAAAAACAACTGTGATGATTTTGTTTGTTACTTTTTTTCATCTTTAACACGAAAATTTATTAACAATGTTTCTATTAAATATAGAATAATATTTTTTTATTGTAAAAATGACATCAACTAATAACCTCACATATAGATACAAAAAAAGAATCCAATGCTGAAATCATATGTATCGTAACAAAAATGAGAAAGTTATCCTCGACAGTGTTATGTTCACATAGCACATTCTTTTGAGAAAATTTTTACTGAA